ATGATTCTCTAAACCCTAAATAAGCCCTAAGCTCTGAAACCCAAAACCCCTAAACCCTAAACCCTAAACCAAAGGGTTTAGGGAGAGGACCCCGAAAAGGAATCGGGTTACGGTTGAGGGTTTCGAGGATCGGCCTTGATTCTCTAAACCTCAAGAAAGCATATGGACCTCTGATGTAGGGTAGGGTTGCGGGCTTATGGGGTTGGGGGTTTAGGGTTTAGGGTTTAGGGTTTAGGGCGGGCAAGGCCGCGCAGGGGTCCACACCGCAGTTAGGCTTTGAGGGGTCAGTGCGAAAGGACCAAGACCCAACACACTTACTACTGTTGGGCCTGGGATGTGCCCCCGTATACTATCAGTCCTTAATAGGGATTATAATTACAGTAGGGGGTACCATAACCCTAAACCCTAAACCCTAAACCCTATACCCCAAACCCTAAACCCTAACCTCTAAACGCCCTAAACCCTAATAGGGGGTACCATAATCCCGAATAAGGACTGCTAATAGTATAAGGGGGAACATCCCAGCTTAAAGTCCCGATATCGGGTCATCTTCGCAAGGGTCGCCTGAATGTCGTCTGTCACGAAGCGGAAGGCAAACTTCTCATCGCATGTCCACTGGATCGGAGGCCAGCACCTGAGATCCACATGGGGGTGGGATGTGTTTAGGGTTTGGGTTTCGGGTTTTGTAGTGGAACGCTTTTTAGAAATTGTGTAGGGTTTGTAGGGGAGATTTAGGGAGAACTAGTGGTTGCAATGGCTTCTGGGGAGGCATGGAGCAACTACCACCTATTGTGCAGGCATCCGCAAAGCCCTCGCACGAGGCTAGTCCATGGCCCAGCATCATAGCTTGAAATGGGTATTTCACCCAAAAAAGGTACCCTACTGTACCCCCACTATAGTATCATCCTTCTATAGGAACCCCCTTGTCGGACCCCCCCCCCCCCCCCCCCCAATCAGTCAGCTGCTACTATTTGGGGGTCCATATTGGGGGTCCCCTAATTTAACCTAAACACCCTAAACACCCTAAACACCCTAAACACCCTAAACACCCTCTAAACCCAATTTTCGTAAACCCCCATGTCGGACTGTATCCGTCCTTTCTCGCTTTGCCCGGCCGGTGGATGTGCGATGGGTTCGTTTGCTTCAGAGACCGAGCACCCCAAAGGTACCAAAAGCCATTGCTCCGGTTGGGGGGTTGGGGTTTAGGGTTTAGGGTTTAGGGTTTAGGGTTTAGGGTTTAGGGTTTAGGGTTTAGGGTTTAGGGTTTAGGGTTTAGGGTTTAGGGTTTAAGGTTTAGAATTTAGGATTTAGGGCGTAGGGTTTAGGGTTTAGGGTGACAGCGCCTACAGCGTGCCTTATAAAGCTTAGATCAAGAACCGCCTTCCCCAAAGAACTCCATAAACCAACTCAACACTCAGCTTGAGGGTCTATATGTATACAATCATAGATATATACACACACATATATATATATATATAGACATATGTATATGTATATTCGCTTATGTTCGTACATTTTCTTGTATGTTTATATCCTTCTAGTTCTACATTTGTATATTTAAATATTTGTTCATATTATTATTATTAATATTATTAATATTATTAATATGATTATTATTACTATTATTATTATTATTATTATTCTTATTATTAGTTTTATTATTATTATTATTATATATATATATAGATATATATGTATATGTATATTTGTGTGTGGTGTCTGAATATTTGGCTTTAGGGACTAAGTTTTTCATTCAGGGCTTGAAAGAGCTTCTTGCATAGTGACCTTACCCCGAGTATGCACCATTGAGTCCGCAGACTCTTGGGTTCACCTTTCACTTTCTGCTCCCCCCAAGCATTCAACCCTATGCAGGGTTTAGGGTTTAGGGTTTAGAGTTTAGGGTTTAGGCTTTCAGGTGTTGGGTGAACCCTAAAGCCTCATGCTGCGTCGGGCACAGAGGCGAGATGTTGGGCGCAAAGTAGCGGGCCACCGTGGACGGCACCAGGAAACCCGGACCCTTTCCTGGTGTTTAGGTTGTGGCGTTTGAGGATGAGCGGCTTCTTTTCATGTCCCTGAGGGCCTCCATATATAACCCTAAGACCTAAGCCCTGAACCCTGAACCCTAAACTCTAAACCCCAAACCCTTGGGCCCTGAAGTCACTACGGAGCAAGTAGGAGCATACACCACTGACCCTTGGGGTTTGGTGATGAGCGACGGACAGGCATTTGGGTTTAGGATTTAGGGTTTAGAATCAGGGTCTGCCGCAGACCTTGGGGGCAGGTTTTCTGGCTTTCTGTATAGCACCCAACGGCTACAGGCAGCCAAAGGGGGGGGGAGGGGTGGGGGAGGAGGCAGTGCATGGAAGCCTTCCGCCCAGAGCCCAAAGCGCAAAGGCGAGAGTGGATCCCTAGGCATTCAGACCCGAGAGATACGTAGCTCTTTCAGCCTTCCCTACAAGCCTTTAACTTTGTGGACTCTCATTCTTGCGGGGTTCTTGATGTTTTGCGGTTTAGGTCGTTGGGCCCGAAGACCATGCAATGCAAAGGTGATGGGCGTTTTGGGTCTTAAGGATTCGGATCCGGATTAGAAGACCCTGAACACTAAACCCTAACCCCCAAACCCTAAACCCGAAACCCTAAACCCTAAACCCTAGCCCTAAACCCCAAACCCTAATCCGTAAACACTGGACCCTAAACCCCGAAAGGGACCCTGGCCCTGCAGCCCAAGGTCGCACGAGGAGCTGCAGCACCTTGGCACGCTGGATTTCCTGAGAGGATGGTTACAGGGTTTAGGGTTTAGGGCTAGGGTTTAGGGTTTAGGGTTGAGGGTTGAGGGTTGAGGGTTGAGGGTTGAGGGTTGAGGGTTGAGGGTTAAGGGCTGAGGGTTGAGGGTTCAGGGTTGAGGGTTTAGGGTTGAGGGTTTAGGGCTTGGGGTTTAGGGTCTAGAGTTAGGGTAGGGTTTAGGATGTAGGGTGCAGGGTTTAGGGTTTAGGGCTGACTTAGGGTTTAGGACAAGCCCTGCCTTGAGTTGAGATTTGCTATGGATGTCGTTGTTCTTTACCTTAACCCTCAGAAGTACCCTAAACCCTGGACCCCAAAACCCTAAAGCCCTAAAGCTTGAAGGCGCCCCCCGTGAATTTATTCATGTTTTTTTGCAAGGGTTTCCAAGAGCAGTTAAGCTTAGGCTGATGAACCGCTTGACCCTGAGATATCAACCCTAAACCATAGATTCCTAAGTAGGGTTCTAGATAGGGTTTAGGGATTAGGGTTTACCAGGAGGGGCTCCATAGAAGCAGCCCCCAGAATGCTAAACCCATGTCATTCCTAAGTAGGGTTCTAGGTAGGGTTTAGGGATGAGGGCATAGAAGCAGCGCAAGACTGCTAAACCCATGTCATTCCTAAGTAGGGCTCTAGGTAGGGGTTAGGGATTAGGGCTTAGGGTTTATATACCAGGAGGGGCTTGCTGACTGTACTGCACAAAGTTCAGGGACTTCTGAAGTAAGCTATCGTAATTATAGATAGAAACCAACTGAGACCGCTTAAGTACTACACCCCCCCTAAACCCTAAACCCTAAACCCTAAACCCTAAACCCTAAACCCCCAACTATCATGACTCGTTATTCCTGATGAATGTGCAAAACTGAGGGTTTAGGGTAGCTAGGCGTTGGTCCACAGAGGCCATGCGTGCGGTCGCCATACTGAGTGGGAGCCGCCGCCATAGCAGTTCGCACGCCCAGGTGCGTGAATGTCTCGGGCAGCATGCTGCCGTCTTCGGCAGGCTCAGGCTCCGGCAAGATGCGTCCCTCAGTGAAAAGCCTGCGTAGGCGGGTGACGAAGTCGTCCCGAAGCAGCGATGTCCGGGTCCCTGACATCGAATGGTCGCACAAAGCGCAGAACCTCTGCGCCGAAATCGGCCGCGAGCCCCGCAAGCAAGATGTTCTCCAGGGGATCTTCCGATGTGGGTTGAGAGGAAGCCAGGTTTAGGGTTTAGGATTTAGGGTGTAGGGTCGTAGCAGCCGCGACATGGAATAGGGGCTCGAGGTTTAGCAGGATTCAAAGCTTCGTGTTAGATTCCACTGCCTAAAGTTGAATGGAAGGCCTAAACCTTAAACTCTGAAGAGACAGCCCCCCAAACAAACAAAAATTGCCCTCCCCTAGGCCCCTAGGCCCCTAAAACCCTAAACCCTAAACCCTAAACTCTAAACCCTAAACCCTCAATGTGCCAGCCACACACAGCTAAATACGTGACCAAAGAATTTCGGGTTCAGGGCTTTTGGCTTGAAGCTGATATAGCATGGCCACGCCTTCTGCCCACGCTCCGCGCGAGCTGCCAACGTGGACTTGTGCCGCAAGACTCAAGCAAGCAAGCTCAGGGAAAAACCTCGTTTGAGAAAAAACCCTGAGCTCCGCCGACCTGCAAACTATACAGACCAGCCAGCCTGCGCGCACACCCCACTGCCAAGAGACAAGCGGAAAACCCAACACCCCACACCACACCCAAGCCAAAACCAACCAAAAACCCGAAGCACCAACCCAAGAAAAAACCCAAGCAAAGGAAAACCAAAGAAGACCCAGCACGAACCCCTGGCAGAGAGGAGGGCGAACAACTGGAGCAGTTGCAGGCGGCTGGAAAAGTAGCGGCCCTGTGAAGGCTCTGCAACAAACGTTGGAAGAATCCCCTTACACGAGCTTTTACGCAGGCCCTCCAGGCGCAGCGAAAGCCAACGTGGAGGGGGGGGGGGGGGGGGGGAAGTTGAGGGGCTTAGCCTCGCCCAACACAAGTACTCCTAGCATCTTCACACTAGGTTGCCCAGTGACCTAGGATGAAAAAGGGTGGGGATATAGGGGAACCTAAACCTACCAAAAAGGGAATAAGGGGACTACTGGGCATCCTAGAGCATCATGCGTAATAATAAGTTAGTTTACATAAATTATAGGTGCAGTGCGAGAGCACGGAGGATCTATGAAGACAACATCAGCGGGACTCTCTGGAAGTGAGATCAGATCACGTCAAGGGACTCCGGCTCGCCCTTGGCTTTGGTGATGCACCCGTCGTGGCCCTGGATGAGCACGAAGAGACCCATGACGGCCGATGCGATCACGATAAACCCAAGGATGAACAGGACATCGTCGGCCTCCGATGGGCCAAAACGGAAAATGAGGCCCCAGCACACAGCGCCGACGTTGCCCCCAGCGCCCACCACTCCGGACACGGCGCCAGTTGCGGTGGGCTTCACGTAGGGTACGATTCCGAAAGTGCAGCCCTCCGCCATCTGAACACCGAGCGAGAAGAGCAGCAGGACGCCGATAGTCGCACCCAGAGAGTCCATCTTGGTGAAGATCAGGAGCATGATGCCCTCCCAGACCAGAGAGATAGACTGCGCATAGATGCGCCCGCGCATGCCGGTGGTGCCCGCGCCGAACAACTGGAACAGCTTGTCAGATAGAGCGCCGCCCATAGCGCGAGCGAAGAGGTTCATGAGGCCGAACAGGGAGGCGATGAGACCCGCAAGGGAGACCGACAGCTCGTACTTGGTCTCCAGGTACACAGCGAGGATGTTGTTCATGGTGACCTCAACGCCGAAGCAGGCCGCGTACTGGATGAACAGAATCCAGGCGTTGTACTGGAAGAAACCCTCCTGGAACGACTTCTTGGACGACCGGCGCTCCATTGTGCCCCTCTGCTCCAGTTCCTTGAAGTTGCCCTTCGGCGAGTCGTCCGAAAAGAAGTACATGCTAATGCCGGTACCGCATGTCAAAACTCCGGGGACGATGAAAGAAAGGCGCCAGGCCTCCTCGTCGTCAAAGCCAGTGCGGAACATGTTCCACACGCCGACCATGAGCAGCTGAACAGCACCGCCTCCAAGGTTGCCCCAGCCACCAGCCATGGCGTTGGCCGTGCCCACAATCTCCTTCGCGAACAGCTGCGAGCACCACGCCTGGCATGGCACAAAGGTCGCGCCCAGGACACCGATGACAAAGCGGATGATGACCAGGCCAGTACCGTTGTTCACGAGACCACCGAAGAAGACCGGGATAGCTCCGAACGTCAGCAGCATGGAGAACATGGTGCGCGTGCCGAACCTGTCGCACAGAGGGCCCACAGCGAAGCGCATGAGCACGGTCGACGCCACAGATGCGATGTTCGCGTTGTACACCTCGTCCTTGGTCAGGCCCAGGTCCTTCTTGATCTGCGGCATCAGCGGCGCGAACGCGAACCACGACGAGAAGGCCATGAAGAAGCCGAACCACGCGAAGTGGAAGCCGCGCATGTGCGGCCGCTTGAAGGAGAGCAGCTTGATCTCGGTTGCGCGGTCGCCCTGCTTCGGGTCCACCTCGCAGTAGTAAGTCTCGTACTTCTTCCACGAGCTCTCGTGCTTGTTCGTCGTCGGGAGTACGCCGTCGGCGGCCTTCTCGGGGGTGGACATCTCTTCGGGGGTGGACATCTCTACCGCAGCTATCTTGCTTACTTGGAGCCTGCACTGCCGGAGGGAATGTCACTAGTATGGCCTTAAGAGAACCCCTTAGATACCCCTTCTATATACCCTCAAAACCCAAAGGGCCCATACTATTCCCTTCAGAGGGCCTTCATTACCCTAAACCCTAGCCCTACACCCTAAGCCCGAACATGATTGGCGGTCGCTGGACCAGTCAGCCAGTGGTCTTTCCAACGCTTAGCAGTCCCTAATGCCAAAATACCCTCCGACTCTTAGAAGAGGAACAAAAATGGCATCTCCCTTGTTGAACCGACGGCAATGATAGAGCTAGGAAAACCCCGAAACCGAAACCTGATAAGCGTAAAGCGAGCCCCGCAAGCAAGATGTTCTCCAGGGGATCTTCCGATGTGGGTTGAGAGGAAGCCAGGTTTAGGGTTTAGGATTTAGGGTGTAGGGTCGTAGCAGCCACGACATGGAATAGGGGCTCGAGGTTTAGCAGGATTCAAAGCTTCGTGTTAGATTCCGCTGCCTAAAGTTGAATGGAAGGCCTAAACCTTAAACTCTGAAGAGACAGCCCCCCCAAACAAACAAAAATTGCCCTCCCCTAGGCCCCTAGGCCCCTAAAACCCTAAACCCTAAACTCTAAACCCTAAACCCTCAATGTGCCAGCCACACACAGCTAAATACGTGACCAAAGATTTTCGGGTTCAGGGCTTTTGGCTTGAAGCTGATATAGCATGGCCACGCCTTCTGCCCACGCTCCGCGCGAGCTGCCAACGTGGACTTGTGCCGCAAGACTCAAGCAAGCAAGCTCAGGGAAAAACCTCGTTTGAGAAAAAACCCTGAGCTCCGCCGACCTGCAAACTATACAGACCAGCCAGCCTGCGCGCACACCCCACTGCCAAGAGACAAGCGGAAAACCCAACACCCCACACCACACCCAAGCCAAAACCAACCAAAAACCCGAAGCACCAACCCAAGAAAAAACCCAAGCAAAGGAAAACCAAAGAAGACCCAGCACGAACCCCTGGCAGAGAGGAGGGCGAACAACTGGAGCAGTTGCAGGCGGCTGGAAAAGTAGCGGCCCTGTGAAGGCTCTGCAACAAACGTTGGAAGAATCCCCTTACACGAGCTTTTACGCAGGCCCTCCAGGCGCAGCGAAAGCCAACGTGGAGGGGGGGGGGGGGGGGGGGAAGTTGAGGGGCTTAGCCTCGCCCAACACAAGTACTCCTAGCATCTTCACACTAGGTTGCCCAGTGACCTAGGATGAAAAAGGGTGGGGATATAGGGGAACCTAAACCTACCAAAAAGGGAATAAGGGGACTACTGGGCATCCTAGAGCATCATGCGTAATAATAAGTTAGTTTACATAAATTATAGGTGCAGTGCGAGAGCACGGAGGATCTATGAAGACAACATCAGCGGGACTCTCTGGAAGTGAGATCAGATCACGTCAAGGGACTCCGGCTCGCCCTTGGCTTTGGTGATGCACCCGTCGTGGCCCTGGATGAGCACGAAGAGACCCATGACGGCCGATGCGATCACGATAAACCCAAGGATGAACAGGACATCGTCGGCCTCCGATGGGCCAAAACGGAAAATGAGGCCCCAGCACACAGCGCCGACGTTGCCCCCAGCGCCCACCACTCCGGACACGGCGCCAGTTGCGGTGGGCTTCACGTAGGGTACGATTCCGAAAGTGCAGCCCTCCGCCATCTGAACACCGAGCGAGAAGAGCAGCAGGACGCCGATAGTCGCGCCCAGAGAGTCCATCTGGGTGAAGATCAGGAGCATGATGCCCTCCCAGACCAGAGAGATAGACTGCGCATAGATGCGCCCGCGCATGCCGGTGGTGCCCGCGCCGAACAACTGGAACAGCTTGTCGGATAGAGCGCCGCCCATAGCGCGAGCGAAGAGGTTCATGAGGCCGAACAGGGAGGCGATGAGACCCGCAAGGGAGACCGACAGCTCGTACTTGGTCTCCAGGTACCCAGCGAGGATGTTGTTCATGGTGACCTCAACGCCGAAGCAGGCCGCGTACTGGATGAACAGAATCCAGGCGTTGTACTGGAAGAAACCCTCCTGGAACGACTTCTTGGACGACCGGCGCTCCATTGTGCCCCTCTGCTCCAGTTCCTTGAAGTTGCCCTTCGGCGAGTCGTCCGAAAAGAAGTACATGCTAATGCCGGTACCGCATGTCAAAACTCCGGGGACGATGAAAGAAAGGCGCCAGGCCTCCTCGTCGTCAAAGCCAGTGCGGAACATGTTCCACACGCCGACCATGAGCAGCTGAACAGCACCGCCTCCAAGGTTGCCCCAGCCACCAGCCATGGCGTTGGCCGTGCCCACAATCTCCTTCGCGAACAGCTGCGAGCACCACGCTTGGCATGGCACAAAGGTCGCGCCCAGGACACCGATGACAAAGCGGATGATGACCAGGCCAGTACCGTTGTTCACGAGACCACCGAAGAAGACCGGGATAGCTCCGAACGTCAGCAGCATGGAGAACATGGTGCGCGTGCCGAACCTGTCGCACAGAGGGCCCACAGCGAAGCGCATGAGCACGGTCGACGCCACAGATGCGATGTTCGCGTTGTACACCTCGTCCTTGGTCAGGCCCAGGTCCTTCTTGATCTGCGGCATCAGCGGCGCGAACGCGAACCACGACGAGAAGGCCATGAAGAAGCCGAACCACGCGAAGTGGAAGCCGCGCATGTGCGGCCGCTTGAAGGAGAGCAGCTTGATCTCGGTTGCGCGGTCGCCCTGCTTCGGGTCCACCTCGCAGTAGTAAGTCTCGTACTTCTTCCACGAGCTCTCGTGCTTGTTCGTCGTCGGGAGTACGCCGTCGGCGGCCTTCTCGGGGGTGGACATCTCTTCGGGGGTGGACATCTCTACCGCAGCTATCTTGCTTACTTGGAGCCTGCACTGCCGGAGGGAATGTCACTAGTATGGCCTTAAGAGAACCCCTTAGATACCCCTTCTATATACCCTCAAAACCCAAAGGGCCCATACTATTCCCTTCAGAGGGCCTTCATTACCCTAAACCCTAGCCCTACACCCTAAGCCCGAACATGATTGGCGGTCGCTGGACCAGTCAGCCAGTGGTCTTTCCAACGCTTAGCAGTCCCTAATGCCAAAATACCCTCCGACTCTTAGAAGAAGAACAAAAATGGCATCTCCCTTGTTGAACCGACGGCAATGATACAGCTAGGAAAACCTCGAAACCGAAACCTGATTAGCGTAAACCCAAACCCTAGGCCCTGAACCCTTATGTACCTAGTTCTTATATACTTGGGCCCTAAAGTCCTTAAAGAGGAGGTACTTTAAGGCCCAAGTACTCCCTAGGCACATGGACCCTTAGGGTTCTAAATCGAAGAGAGCAGCTTCGCTGAGTGCGGCTGCGCCCGCCATGGCCTTCACCTGGACCATGCAAGGACAGAGGGGTGATACAGTGACTTTAGGGCCCCCAAGTGTATGGGTAGTTCTCTAATTTAGGGTCTCTTTTGAAGGATATTATTTTTAAGGGTGCCGTGTAAAAATGTAGGACTCACAAAAGGGTCCTTATAAATCGAAGAGCAACCCACATGCTGACGAGGTACATGGACCATTGACATTGAGAACAGATTTTGGCGTCTGAGGCTCAGGGGCCGAACCCTTTGTATCTGCACTCCCCCCCTCTCCCCAGACCCTGACCCTAAACCCTAAACAACTTCCTACGAGCACAACAAAAAGCCCCAGAACTTTGTTTGCACAGCTCAACAGGTCTTGGACCCTTAAGGTTGTGCCAGTGGCTTTTGTAGCCTTGGCTTTGGGGGGCCTTGTGCAAGATCCTCTAAGATATGGGCCTGTTAGGAGGAGATTAAGGGTAACCTCTTATGGTACGAATCCACATACATGACCCAAGGCCGGTCCCTAAGGGTCCAAGCGCCTAAATGGGGTTTAGGGTTTAGGGTTTAGGGTTTAGGGTTTAGGGTTTAGGGTTTAGGGCTTAGAGTTTAGGGTTTGAGGGCAACTGCTTCGGCTTAGAGCTCCTGGATGGGTTTAAAGTTCAGGGATTCGGTTGACAACCTAAACCCTCAATCCTCAACCCACCAAATCCTGACACCCCCCCTGAACCCTTATATGGGTAGCTTTCTAAATTAGGGTCCGAGTTTGGATACCCATGATTAGGCGGCACCCTTTAAAAAGGAACCCAAAAAAGGCACCCTAATCAGAGAACTACCCTAAAGCCTAAACAGAAAACCCTAAACCCTAAGCTCCAAAGCCCTAAATCCCTGATTTGTCAGCCTTGTTGACACGGATGAGTTGGTCGCCCGGCACCAGCACGTGCTCAGGCGCTGCAGTCTTGTTGTACCTGGGCCATGTGGTCACTTCTCTCAAATCTGGTCCCTTTTGGGGCCCTTGTCATAAGGCGGCCCCTTTGATGTAGGGTACCCAACAAAGACCCTAACTTAGAGAACTGAGCATGTGGAGTGAAGACTCAAAACCTCCCTTTTTTGGAACTCTGAACCCCATAAACCCCAAAACCCCAATCCCCAGACCCCCCAGACCCAAAACCCCTAAACCCTAAACACTGAACCCTAAACCCCTAAACCCCTAAACCCCTAAACCCCTAAACCCTTAAACCCATACTAAACCCCTAAACCCCCTAATTCCCTGAGCCCCCAAAATACCCAAAAACCCAGACCTGGCACCCCAAGAAATCCCTGACCCCCCTACAACTCTACAAACCTAAACCCTACCAAAACCCTAAACCCCTAAAACCGTACAACCCCAAACCCCAAGCCCCAAACCCTAAATCCTAAACCCTAAAACCCTAACCCTAAAACCCTAAAGTCCTGAAGCCCTCAAGCCCTAAACTTAAAGCCGTCCTGAGCCCCTGCCAACAAAAGGCGCTTCCACCGGTCCCTAAACCCCTAAACCCCTAAACCCCTAAACCCCTAAACCCCCACACCCCCAAACCCCCAAACCCCTAAACCCCTAAACCCCTAAACCCCTAAACCCCTAAACCCCTAAACCCCTAAACCCCTAAACCCCTAAACCCCTAAACCCCTAAACCCCTAACCCCCTAACCCCTAACCCCTAAACCCTAAACCCTAAACCCTAAACCCTAAACCCTAAACCCTAAACCCTAAACCCTAAACCCTAAACCCTAAACCCTAAACACACCAAACCCTAAAAAACCTAAACACCTAAACCCAGACCCCTAAACACCCAACCCAACCCTAAACCCCAAACCCTAAACCCCTAAACTCCCTACCCCTCAACCCTAAACCCCTAAACCCCTAAACCCCTAAACCCCTAAACCCCTACAACCCTAAACCCTAAAACCCTAAACCCCTAAACCCCTAAACCCCTAAACCCCTACAACCCTAAACCCTAAAACCCTAAACCCCTAAACCCCTAAACCCCTAAACCCCTAAACCCCTAAACCCCTAAACCCCTACAACCCTAAACCCTAAAACCCTACAACCCTGCAACCCTAAACCCTAAAACCCTACAACACTGCAACCCTAAACCCCGTACCCTAAACCCTCATAACCTAAATCCTGCCAACAAAAGGCGCGTCCACTAGGCCAGGGTCAACGCGGCGGACGAGGAGACCGTTTCTGGGCAGGGGCTTGTGGAGGGCGGGGGGGGGGGGGGGGGGGGGGGGGGGGGGTTAGGGTTTAGAGTTTAGTGTTTTGGGCTTTGGGCTTTGGGCTTAGGGTTTAGGGTTGAGGGTTTAGGTTTTAGGGTTTAGGGCTTGGGGAGGGGGGGCGCGGGGGGGTTGGGGTTTGGGGGTTTGAGATGGTCTAGGGTTTAGGGTGTAGGGCTTAGGATGGTTTATGGCTTCAAGATTCCCTAAGGAGAATTTGGCTAGGGGGAGATTACGCACAAGTTTTTGCTTCGTGGCTCTTAGTACGGAAATAAGGGCTTAGGCTGCGCTGTGTATTCCCCTTCCCTTAAAAAAGCCAAAAGGGATACAACCCTAATCACATATATCAACTAGACCCAGGTGTAACCTAGGAATAAAACGGGTGCCCTTGTGGGTGTAAAGGGGCTTCTGAGGGAACCTGAACCCTGCTAAAAAAGGAATAAGGGCCTACTCTGGGTCCTAGTCAAGGGAACCCTTCAGAAAGGGGGATAACCTTAGGAGAACGAGTTCGGATCCCTTGATTGCGGGCTTGGTCCTTCTGTCAGCCTTCAGGCGGCTTTATTTCAATTACCCCTAACCTTGACTACTCGCCCCCCCCCCCCCCGCGGAAAAAAAAATTAAAAAAAAACTCGAGCGCACGCACACGCGCACGCGCACGCGCACGCGCACGCGCACGCGCACATGCGCGCACCAAAGAAAAGGTAGCCAATAACACAAGACTGATACTGCTGCTACTGCAAGACCTCCCTGTAAACCCTTAAACCTGAAACTTTCCCAATTAGGAACTCCTAAACCCTAAACTCTGAACCCTGAACCCTGAACCCTGAACCCTAAACCCTAAACCCTAAACCCTAAACCCTAAACCCTAAACCCTAAACCCTAAACCCTAAACCCTAAACCCTAAACCCTAAACCCTAAACCCTAAACCCTAAACCCTAAACCCTAAGCCCGGGCTCCGCCCATCCAAGTGGTCGACATTGATGCCCAAGCGTTGGCTGCCGTCCTTCGTGATCCTCGCTTTTTTTCCCAGGGTTTATGGGGCTTTTGGGTGTTTTTTCCCCAGGGTTTATGGGGCTTTTGGGTGTATAGGGTTTATAGGGCTTGTAGAGTTTCTAGGGTTTATAAGGTTTACAGGGTTCGTAGCGGTTTTTGGGTTTTTTGGGTTTATCGGGCTTACAGGGTTTACAGGATTTACAGGGTTTATAGGGTGTATAGGGTTTACAGGTTTCCTGAGTTTTTAGTGTTTATAGGGCTTACGGGGTTTACAGAGTGTTTCGTTGTATAGGGTTTAGGGATTAGGTGCTTTAGGGCTTTTGAAGACTCAAGCGGACTTCGTTGAGGGGGTCTTGTGGGGCTTACAGGGCTTTCCCTAAACCCTAAACCCTAAGGCCTAAACCCTAAACCCTAAACCCTAAACCCTAAATCCTAAACCCTAAACCCTAAACGCTAAACGCTAAACCCTATCCCTAAGCCTGTCTGTTCAGGTTTTTGTAGCGTCTCTCACAGCCCCAAGGTGAAAAGGTCCACTTAGAGCGCTCCAAGCTTCGGGTGCAGGTGTGGAGTTTAGGGTTTAGGGTTTAGGGTTTAGGGCTTAGGGTTTAGGGTTTAGGGTTTTCGGGCCTTTTGGCGTGTTTAGTATAGGACATGTATGGGTCTGCTCTCAGCGCTTCATCTGGAGCATAGGGTTCTTTTCTAGAGTTTCGGACCCTAAACCCTAAACCCTAAACTAACCCTAAACCACCCTACACCCTCAACCCACAATGGGACTGGGAGATAAGGATGCCGCTCGGGATCATGTGTTCGGCACAGAACACTTCACCCTTACCGACTTGTGTGAAATACAGATCATGTAATTTCTCTTTCCTAGAAACAATCTTTACTTTCAACTAACATATTGTGCATTCAAACTTCTTTATTCTTCTTTCATTTGTGTCGTAAATGGTTGTTCTTAATACTAGACTCTTTTTCTATTAAAATAAATGCAAAACAATTAAACGAACAATCTATGCGAACAATCAATAATGATAACAATATCCCAGTAGCTCATATTCAACACTGCAGAAGCATTCCGCTTTGTAGCGATTATGTAACATGCATTTTTTTTGAACTTCCTGCAGGGTTTAGGAGTCTAGTGTTTAGGGTTTTTAGTGTGTCTAAAGACACCCTGAATAACCTACATAATCTACAGAGCACCCAAAGAAACAGAAAGGGGACATGCGGTTCAAGCCAGTCTTGCGAACAAACGGCATCTTTCATCTATAGACGGCCAGGAGGCTCAAAACGGACACGCTGGTCGAGAAACGTCTGGGTATGTGAAATACCCGTAAACTCAGCCTAAAATCCCTAATTACACCAAAAAGTACAAATTAAACTCTAAACCACCAAACCCTGACTCGAAAAACCTATAGCTCTAAACCCCTAAATCCCTAAACCCTAAACCCCAAACCCCAAACCCTAAAGCCCAAACCCTAAACCCCAAACCCTAAACCCCTAAATCCTCTAAGCTTTCTGCAGAGGCTCGTGAACTCGAACTCGCGGGACGTACTCGGCCGCCGCCGGAGCGACCACACGCGCAGGTTCTCAGCTCGTGCCTGATGGGCTAAGGGGTTTGTTTAGGGTCTAGGGTCTAGGGTCTAGGGTTTAGGGTTTAGGGTTTAGGGTTTAGGGTTTAGGGTTTAGGGTTTAGGGTTTAGGGTTTAGGGTTTAGGGTTTAGGGTTTAGGGTTTAGGGTTTAGGGTTTCGGGTTTAGGGTTTAGGGTTTAGGGTTTAGGGTCTAGGGTTTAGGGTTTCGGGTTTAGGGTTACGAGCTTTGTTCTGCAAAAGGGGCCATCTAAATGCCAAAAAAAGGATAGGGCTTAGATACTGAACCTGTGAGACTGCGAAGCCCTTAAACCCTGAGCCCTAAACCCAAAACGCGCCGAAACCCTGAACCCCAAACCCCAAACCCTAAACCCTAAGCCCTAAACCCCAAACCCTAAACCCTAAATCCTAAGCCCTAAATCCCAAACCCTAAGCCCTAAACCCGAAACGCCGAACTCTCCCCGAAATCCTCGAGAAACCCCAAGAGCTAGCCGAGAAGCAAACGCCGCCTTACCACCGCCCTTGCCCTCTTTGGCAGGCTCCAGCTTAAGGCCGCCCATGTGCTCCCAGGTCACCTCAGCTTCCCCCTACTTTGGAGTAGACACTGGGGAAAAAAACATGTACTTGTTGGGAAGAAGTGGCTATAACAGGAACCCAGAACCAACAACAAGCATTAAAGTATAGTACTCGATGGCCCTTAACCCTAAACCCTAAACACCCCGAAGCCCTAAACCCTAAACCCCAAAACGCGACAGGTTTGGGGGCTTCAGGATGGACGTTGTCACCCCCAAGGGCCCATGTGCCAAAAAACTCTTTGCCTTTTCCTCTACATTCTACGAATAAAACCTAAACCCTAAACCCCAAGTTCTAGCCCGTCTAGGTACATGAAGCAAGCAGGATCTATGAGCATCCTGGGAGCAGCAAAAAAAGTGTGCCTGCTTTTCTTTTTATTTTTACCTTTTTTTTTTTTTTTTTTTTTTTTTTGGGGGGGGGGGGGGGGGTGGTTTAGCTTACCTTGGAAAAAAGGTGAAACTTCAAAATTCCTACTAAATAAGGGAACCCCCCAAAAACGCGTGCCTGCTTGTTTGGGGGTGGTTTAGCTTACTTCTCCAATAAACAAGGGGAAAAAGGTTAAACTTTAATATTGCTACTAAATGAGGGAACCCAAAAAGTTTAAAGTTCAAGTACAGGCGAAGTAAGTTGGGGTTTAGTGTTTAGGGCTCATGGAGGAGCCTCAGACAAGAAAAGTGGCCTTCAGTTTAGGGTTTAGGGTTTAGGGTTTAGGGTTTCGGGTTTAGGGTCTCACTCAAGGTCCACAGTCCCAAGCCCTCAACCCCAAGCAACGTTTATTTTTTAGGCTTCATGGCTTTTACTTACTTCTCCGATAACCAAGGGGAAAACAGGTTAAACTTTAATTTTCCTACTAAATGAGGGAACCCAAAAAATTTAAAGCTCAACTACAGGCGAACTAAGTTTAGCCTAACCCCTAGACCCAAAGCCCTAAGCCCTAAACCCAGCTTAGGCACTTGGACCCAAACAGGGTCTGCATCCAAGGGTGGGGGGTTTAGGGGTTGGGATTTCGGGTTTCGGGTTTCCGGGTTCCGTGCTTCGGGTTTCTAACCCTAAACCCTTAACCCTAAACCCTAAACCCTAAACCATGGTGTTATCTACGGATGAGGCGGAGGCTCAGAGCCAAGTAGGCCCTCAGCAGCTTGGGGTTTTCAGGCTTTGGGTTTTTAGGGTTTAGGGTTTAGGGTTTAGGGTTTAGGGTTTAGGGTTTAGGTGTAGGGGTGTGGGGGAGGGGGGGGTGGTGGGGGGAGGGTTGCGTGGGTGTGGGGCTTCAGGGTTGTGAGGTCTCAGGGCATTAAGCTTTTTAGGGATGTGTGTGTTTGGGGATTTATGGATTTGGATTGTTTATCAAGGTCAAGGAGTTGAGGGTACGATAGGCTCGAAATACTGAAGTCTCACCGCCATCGACACCAACACGCCGATCCTTTGCCCTTAGACCCTGGAAACTGAAACATAAACCTGGCAGAGGAAGGACCCAAACCCTAGACCCCCCGACCCTAAACCCCTAAACCTTCAACCCTCAACCCTCAACCCTAAACCGCTTTAGATCCTGAAGGCCCCGAGGTGTAGCCTGGCGGCTGCGAAGGAGCTGTGCGGTGAGAAGTAGCACCTTCCGAGGCGACACACTCCTTATGCCATGGAGCCGCAATGCCCTGACCCAAGTTTTCGCACCAGAATATGTTACCGGTGAAGCAACATGAAGGGAACACAAAAGCTACAACGATGATGGGAAAGGGGGAGCTTTTCCTGTTTATAAAGCAGCCGAAAACCCCAAACAAGAAAGAAGTGCAAGCGCCAAAGACCAATATGGAACCTTAAACCCTACGCTGCAGGAGATTGTCAGGCTGTCGATTCTACCAGACGTGTTGCTTGAGATGTCTAGAAAGAAACGCACGTAACCTTTGAGGTTTTGCAATCCGGTTCAAGCACGTCGGGAGCACAACAAGAATTTAAGAGCGGAGTTTGGCGTTTAGGGTTTAGGGTTTGCAGGTCTAAGGTTTGCAGGGTTTAAGGGCTTTAAGATTCAAGGGTTTAGCAACTGTAAGAGGGCTTTGGGGCTTTGTAGGGTTGAAGGATTCAGGGACGGGATTTAGGAGGCTGGGAATGAGTTCAGGCAACACAGGTTCCTAACCCCAAACACCTAAAAAAGGGCTTCTGATTTTAGGGTTTCGGGCTCCTAAACCCTATACCCTAAACCCTAAACCTTAAACCCTAAACCCTTAACCCTTAACCCTTAACCCCAAAAAACCGTCTTGCGCCTGACGATTGGCCCTGGCGGCCCCGATTGCGATGGGATGTCGCAGTGGCTGATGGTGGCTGGAGACGGACCCTCGCAGCTGTCGCTTTTTACGGTTTGGGGCCGAACCCTAAACACTTAAAACCCTAAACCCTAGACCCTAGACCCTAAACCCTCAAACCCTCAAACCCTCAAACCCTAAACCCTAAACCCTAAACCCGGTTGGGTGCATTGAGTGGCCAAACGTCCTAAGCCCTAGAAATCCCCCGAGCGCTTAGCTTGGCTCTACACCCTTCAATCTGCTGCAAGCCCCAGAAACTAGCAAAAACCTTGCCCTAAACCCTAAACCCTAAACCCTAAACCCTACACCCTACACCGTAAACCCTAAACCCTAAACCCTAAACCCTGCCTAAGCCCAACACCTGCCGCGCCCAGGAGGGCCTTCTCCTTGCCCTCCGCCAGGAGCCAGGGAACATCCCAGATTCCCACGGACCCGGTCCTGTGATTCAGTCGGGATGGGGTTTGGGGTTTAGGGTTTAGGTTTAGGGTTTAGGGTTTAGGGTTTAGGGTTTAGAATTTAGGGATTTAGGGTCTAGGGATTTGGGGCTTCCGGATCTGGGGATCCGCCATAGGCCCCCTCTTCTCACTTCAGGGTTTAGGGTTTTAGGGTTCTCTAAAATTCCTGAACCCAAAGCTCTAAACCCTAGTAAGGGTTGATTTTCAGGGGAAGGCGCTGAACCTCAAACCCTTTGTTTTGTAGGCTTGATGCCTCATAACTTCACAACTTCCTCTTCGCTGACAGCCCTGAGACCTTATCTTGAGTGTTAACGTCAAAGGACATCCAAACTAGAAAGGCCCTCCGAAGCCCTCTGAAAAAAGTATTTCGAAATATCATCCTCCTAAACCCAATAAGGGAAATTTTCAAATATCCCCCAAACCCTGAACCCTGAACCCTGAACCCTAAACCCTGAACCCTGAACCCTGAACCCTAAACCCTAAACCCTAAACCCTAAACCCTAAACCCTAAACCCTAAACCCTAAACCCTAAACCCTAAACCCTAAACCCTAAACCCTAAACCCTAAACCCTAAACCCTAAACCCTGCCTAGCAAACATTTTGAGCCCACTTCAAGACCAAGCTTCTGGTGTACGAGAACCCCAAGGTAGCCAGCCGCACTGCTTGCTAGGCAGCTTGCATTGCCTGCCGGTTTAGGGTTTAGGGTTTAGGGTTTAGGGTTTAGGGTTTAGGGCTGGAATTTGGGTTGTTGTAACATGAAGGCCTCCGAAAAGGCGCGTTCTACAGTCGGATTCCTGAAGATCCAGCGCAAAGACACGCGGACCACGTACCCCCAGCCACCTCCCGATCGCCCCTTGAACCCTATAAACCCTACTTGGAGGTTCAGGAGATTCATCACCCAATTATATAAACCCTAAACCCTAAACCCTAAACCCTAAACCCTATAACTGTACTTCTAAGCGCCCTAAGTCCCCGAAGTCCTCTAAGTAGGTTACAAGTGGGGCTTCTTATTCTAGGCTGCCCAGTAACCTAGGCTCAAAAAGGGTGCCCTTTTTTGCTCAAAGGGGTTTATAAGGGAACCTAAACCGCCCAAAAAGGGAATAAGGGCACTACTGGGCAACCTAGGGGGCTTCTTATGGGCGTTATTGTACCCATGAACCTCCGAGTAAACCTTGCATGTTTGAACTTGCTCTCGGAGCGAAAGCCTTCCTACTTAAACCCTAAACTCCGACTAAACACCAATAAACCTAAACCGTAAACCGTAAACCCTAAACCCTAAAGCGTACACCCTATACCCTAAACCCTTAACGCACCCAAAACGGCCGTACCCTGAACCTCGACCCCCTGGTTCTTCAGCCGGGAGTAAAAGAACTTAGGGCCCAAAAAAAGCACATAAACAAAAGTTCGGATAGGGACATCCTTATATAAACCGCTCATAATGAAGCCCCATAAGGTAGGATATCCTGATAAAAGCTTGTGCTCATGTCCCTTTTTTGGGGTCCCCTAGTTAGGGCCCATACCCATTGAGGTATTATATAGGGTAGCTGATTCCCCCATTACCTACTAAGAACCCCGAAACCCCGAAACCCTAAACCCTAAACCCTTACAGTCATAAGTGTACATTCCCTACTAAGAAGCAGCCAGTAACCCTAACCCTAAACCCTAAACCCTAAACCCTAAAGTCTAAACCCTAAACCCTAAACCCTAAACCCTGAACCTCGAAATGCTGGGGGGAGTCCTGGAAGTGCGGGTGGAAGCGACTGAACCAAGGATGGCTCCTCCTCATGTGCTCCGCTTCATGTCCCTGGGTTTAGGGTTTAGGGTTTAGGGTTTAGGGTTTAGGGTTTAGGGTTTAGGGTTTAGGGTTTAGAGTTTAGGGCTAAAAGTTCAGGGCGTAGTTAGGGTTTAGGGTTTAGGGCTTAGGGTTTATTCAGGGTTGAGCTATGAGGCAGACCCCGGCGTCTTACATTTCCACCCACCCGAAGAATGTAAAACAGAGGCAGATCCCGTCGTTGATAAAAACTTCGCCACTCCATCTCTCTAAAACACACACTCTCGCTCTCTCTCTATCTCTCTCTCTCTCTCTTTCTCTCTTTCTCTCTTTCTCTCTTTCTCTCTTTCTCTCTTTCTCTCTTTCTCTCTTTCTCTCTTTCTCTCTTTCTCTCGTTCTCTCTCTTTCTCTCTTTCTCTCTTTCTCTCTTTCTCTCTTCCTCTCTTTCTCTCTTCCTCTCTTTTTTTTTTCTCTCTCTCTCTCTCTCTCTCTCTCCAAGCGCTTTGGTAGTATATGCCAGCAGCTGATAGCATGCAAACAGGCTCAGCAGACGATTTGTTTCTCAGCAGACCCTAGCGAGTGACCCCTCAAAAGCCCGGGTCCCTCTTGTTGTGGACTTTAAGCCCTGAAGCCTACACCCAAAACCCTAAACCCAAAACCCTAACCCCTACAGCCTACACCCTAAACCCTAAACCCTAAAGCCTACACCCTAAACCCTAAACCCTAAACCTAAACCCTAAAAACCCTAAACCTAGGAAGCCACCCACGAAGTGGCGCAGGTTCGAGCTTCTCACCCCGGTGCTTGGGCAACTTGCAACTTCGCAACTCTCTGCCTACCCTAACCCCTAAACCCTAAACCCAAAACCCAAAGCCCAAAACCCTAAACCCTAAACCCTAAACCTAGGACTGTGGGCGTGATGTTTCGGTACATGGACCCTTAGGCGTAGGATTCTATAACCCTAAACCCTCAACCCTCAACCCTCAACCCTAAACCCTACCCCTAAACCCTAAATCCTAAACCCTAAACCCAAAAAGGTTCGAGGTTACCTACCCAGTCCCTAAGTTTTATACGCGTATCAACTTTGAGGAGCCCTAAGCCTCAAGGGGTTCAGTTTAGGGTTTAGGGTTTAGGGTTTAGGGTTTAGGGTTTAGGGGTTAGGGTTTAGGGTTTAGGTTTAGGGTTTCGGGTTTAGGGCTACAGGGTTTAGGGTTTAGGGCCTAGGGTTTCAAGGGCTGTCCTTCAGGGATGCGACGTGGTAGACGTGCGTGCCGTTGCGGGACGCCGCCACGAACTCCATGGCGCTAGCGTGCGCGGAGCGCTGTCATGGCTGCAAAGACATCCTAGCTACCTTGACCCCGGAAGTAGCCCTAAACCCTAAACCCTGAACCCTAAACCCTAAACCCTAAACCCTAAACCCTAAACCCTAAACCCTAAACCCTAAACCCTAAACCCTAAACTCCACACCCCTAAACCCTATGTAGGATGCTTGGGTTTGCCCAGCAGGTCCGGAGTCTCCCGGTGCATGTCGGGCCGCTGCCTGAGGCTTTTGGCTCATGGCCGTAGCACCCATGCCCTTAGGGTTCATGTACCTTGCTGGGTTTAGGGCTTAGGGTTTAGGGTTTAGGGTTTGGGGTTTGGGGTTTAGGGTTTAGGGTTTAGGGTCATGCCCATGCTCATAGCAAAATGCTGCGGCTGTTGGATGGGGCCCAAACCACTGGACAGTGCCCCTACCCTAACCCTAAACCCTGCAACCCTCACAACACCGTCTAAACCCTCAAAACCCTACTAACCCTGTAAACCCGATGAACCCTATGAACCCGATAAACCCCAAATCCCACCAGATAGCTACTAAACCCTAAACCCCAAACCCCAAACCCAAAACCCTAAACCCTCAACCCTAAACCCTAAAAGGAACTGCAAGGTGGGTTTTTGCTGTGCTTTTTCTACCCAACATTCTATGGACCTCACAGGAGGGTCTACTTGGCGCAGGTTAGGATTGAGTATTTCGGTGTTAGAGCAGCTTTCGAGTATGTCCTAATTAGCAGTGTGGATATATATATATACATACATATATACATATACATATATATATATATGTATAGCAGTATCATTACACATTTCATGTACATTTACAACTGTACTGATGATTTTTGTGTCCTGTCTCTCTGTCGTGTAGGGCTTGGAATTGGGATTCTGGTTTGGGGTACTTACGCTAACAAAGCGGCCACTGTTCCCTTCACCAGTTTGAGAACACATTCCTCGATGATGTTGCGGATGCTGTGCCCTTTGACGGCCATGAAGAGTTTGAAACCTTCAGCCCGTTTTAAGTCTCGAAGACATTTAACACCTCAAGACCACTGAATCTAACAGTTAGCACATCTGAATGTCAAGTGACTCTAGATCCCCAAACACCTCAGCAACCTCTCAGGCCCCTCAGCCCAAACAAAAGAACGCGTAAATCCCAAAGCCCTAAACTCCTAACTACCGTGGTTCTTTCTAGCGATTTTTTTGTAGGGGGTTTAGGGTTCCTCATGCCCCCTATGTTCAAGCCGAGACAACAAACAGAAGCATCCCCCCAGATTCTACGTCACCATGTGGGTGGCTCAGCAACCGGCTGAGTTGAAGGAAGCGCTCCAGTCGGCAGGAGGAATGCTCGGCTCCCTGACCTGAGTACCAGGGATGAGGATTCTTCAGCCTTTCGGTTTCAAGAGTGTAAGTTGTTGATTTGTCGGGTATTTCCAGTCGTTCAAAAACACCGGAAACCGGAAACCCTATACCCAAAACACAAACCGGCCGCCAGGTAGGTTTCGTGTTTTAGTAAGGACGTCCCTGTGAAAGGACACTGTTCCCATGGTTTCATCCCGTTTTGAGGGACTTTGAAAACCATCCCCATACAAGATACGGAAACGACGAGTCGTTGACGAAGAACTTAGGAGGATTGCTTGCTATTAAGAGCGCCCGTAAAACTAAACCCTAAACCCTAAACCCTAAACCCCAAACCCTAAACCCTAAACCCTAAACCCTAAAAGTTGCGGGGGGTGTCTAGGTAGGCGACATAAGGAGCCCTCTTCTCCTTCCCTAAGGAACCTTTTCTAGACTGTGTAGAAATCCGTGGCCCCCTGCAGCTGAGTTCTGTTGCCCTAACAACCGCTAAACACGAGGGGGTGACAGCAGGCAGGGATTAGGGTCCAAGGTTCAGGCCCACTCCGCCCTAGAGCCCCGAAACCCCAACTCCCCAAAAAAAAACTAACCCCTAAACCCTAAACCCTAAACCCTACACCCTAAACCCTAAACCCTAAACCCTAAACCCTAAACCCTAAACCCTAAACCCTAAACTCCCAGGGCGGCGGCCCATGTAGCCGTGGGGGAGGAGCATCACCAAGCCGGTCTGCTGGAGCCACTTGTGCTCCCCAGCCGAGACGAACCTGGCAAAAAGGTTTAGGGTTTAGGGTTTAGGGTTTAGGGTTTAGGGTTTAGGGTTTAGGGCTAGGGTTGGGGGGGTGGCTAAACCTAAATCAAACCCTACACCTTACACTAAACTCCAAACAGTTGGAAGATCATTACGCCCTTACCCCGAAAGGTAGACAGACTAAAGGACATTCCCAGCTCTAATCATCCTTAAGCCATGCTCCAACTTCCTGCCAAAAACCCTAAACCCTAAAGCCAAAACCCAAGGCTCCTAGGCACCCAAGTCGGCCCTGCTACCACTTGTGGGGGGGGGGGGGGGGGGGGGGGGGGGGGGGTGGAGTTTTCAAGATGTGGTCCGAAGGTATAGGGTTTAGGGTTTCGGGAACGATTCCTTCTGTGCTTTCGGAATGGTTCCGCATGGTACGTGCAAAACTCAGGCCCGTTGGACATGGGTCCAGCGCTGAGCACGTGCGGAAGTGCCGACGAGGGGCCAAGCAAGACTTTCAATGTCATACGCCCAAGAGCTATATGTGTTGAGCTAGATGTTCTGGTAGCTGCGACTCGGGATGTATGGCAAGTACGGAGTCATGTGCATGAACAATGACGCAACCCCTCTGGCTGCTGTATCAAACCTTGCGACCTTACTTCGAGTCTAAGCGTCCTCAGTCTAAGCTGACATGAGCTCAGGGTCTCTTCCTTGTCTCCTTAACCTAACACCACATCCCCAACACTATATACGATAAAGGAGACCCCAGAAAATGATAAAAGCCCGCGGTGTCTTCTTCCTCTGTACTCAGACCTCCACCCCCTCCTTGGCGCCTGCCTCCCCGAGGTTCCCACAGGGGCTGATCTCCCAAAACCCTTATAAACCCTAAACCCTAAACCCCAAAGCTTAAACCCTGAAGAACCCTAAACCCTAAACTCTGAACTCTGAACCAAACCCTAGAATCCAGTCAAGAGGATTGAAGTTGACGGGGATGGGATTCTACGAGTCTTGTGGTAGCTTGTGCCAGTGTTTGGGCAGTCCCTGCAATCTAAGGGGTTTATGCGGCGAACTAAGTTTGGGTTTGAGGGTCTAGGGTACGTATACCGTGGCCTCAAAAGCACTTCCTTCCTTGGGCTTGTTGGCCCTCAGAACTCAATTAAACTCTGCTGGGGGGGGGGGGGGGAGTCGTTGAGCCTCAGGGTGTAATCCTGTGTTCGGGGTTTATTAGGGTTTTGGGGAACATGGGCCCTTGCGGAGTTGTACTTCAGTCAACAGACAAAGGGAAGCGAGTTAGATTCCCGCATCTCAACTTCATCCCAGGAGTGGAGCCATACCACGCCTCAAGACATACCTTGTACTTTCACATGCTCATGCAGAAAGATTCGCGGGATTTAGGGGTTAGTGTTTAGGCTTTAAGGTATCACTGGGGCTTAGGTGTACACCGTGAACCCCCAAGTTGAGCGGGGAGGCTGATCGATCATCACCTGCGCAGTGTTGGCGAAGTCGCCGAATTGCGCTTCCCAGAGAACCTAGACGGTAGGGCATTCAGGGGTTTTGGAGCTTAGGGTTTCAAAGGTTTAGGGTGTTGGGTGTTTTGGGGTTGTTATGTCGAGAGTAGGGTGTTTGGGCTCAGGCTTTAGCGTATTCTGGGCTGATGTTTTCGATCCAGGGTGTAGGGCTTCGACTTGTTGGATTTGGCCATGGCCCATGTCTCCTAACGCTGGGCTGGGCAGATGCTCATCAACCTCAGGACTATTGTCAATGGAAACTTGCACAGCGCGAAAACCTAGCCTATGCAACCCTAAACCTTTAAGCACTGAACTCTCGAATGTTTCTTGCTGCCTTCGCCCAGTGTGGGGGCTATGGGGCTTGGGGTGTAGGCCGCACAGAAGCGCTAGGTCCGCTCGGTCTTGGAAATGGGTACCGTTTCTGTTTTGCCTGAGGAGGTTTAGAACGAACCCAAACCCTAAACCCTAAACCCAGAACCCCCCTTCCCCAGCCGCAGCAGAGGGAATGAGGGCATACTCCTGGAGGCCCTCGATCTTTAAGCATATGCCAAAGACGCTCAGTGAAGCCTAAGACCTCACACTGATGAAAACTTCATACATGGCCGTTTCCACCCCTCAACCCTGTGAAATAAGCATTTCTGAACAAGACCCCAGTCCCTTTGGGGATCTCGAATCACTCCGGCAAAAGTATGGCAGAGTGACCAGTGCGCGGGGATTCTCGTAGCTGTAGCCCAATTCAAAGCCCAGCACACCGTACTCCGAGAGAATGGAGTTCCGAGCAATGAAGTTCTCCTGCACATAAGGACACTACACAAGACGTGATGAAATATTGTAACAAGAATAGACATAGATATCATCCTGGTGAATATGGGAATGGTGTAAGGTAGCGTCCCTTCTAGCCCCCCCCCCCCCACCCCCCAACCCTAGATCCAAGCAGAAACACGGATCCTGGACATAGCACGGTGGAGCGAGTTAAGAGGACCAAGAGTTGAGAAAGCTTAGGGTTGAGGGTTCAGGGTTCAGGGTTCAGGGTTCAGGGTTCAGGGTTCAGGGTTTAGGGTTTAGGGTTTAGGGTTTCGGGTTCACGGTTTAGAGTTTCGGGCATTTCAGAGCCGGTTTCAGTGCGCTCCATGATGCCGAACAGGGGTGCAAGGGCATCGCTGGTTCGGGTCTTCCTCCGCCGCCTACAAGGCGTGGTTTACCCTAAACCCTAAACCCTAAACCCTAAACCCTAAACCCTAAACCTTTATTGGTTTAAGGTCTAGGGTCACAGGATTCAAGATCCGAAAGTTCAGGGTTCAAGGTCAAAGAGCTGATAGGGCATGCAGGCTTCGAAATCCGTACTCTGAAGCTCTTCCAGGACTACCTTGGCAACGCAAAGGCCCCGAAGCCCAAATTGTCCTGTGGGCCGAGGTCGAGGTTGTTGAGGAAGCCTTTTCATCACAAGGGTTTAGGTTTTAGGGTTTAGGGTTTATATAGGGTTTAGGGTTTAGGGTTTCGGGGCCCTCTTCTTGTTCTTTCTTTGCCAGGAGAGCTTCGAACTTTACTAGGCATGAAGTTGAGGGATTGAGACATGGGGACTGGTAGTGTGCATCATCGTTGAAAACAGCTCAACAAGTTCTTGCCCTAAACCCTGAACCCTAAACCCTGTTGCTTGCGAAGCTGCGGGGTCGAGAGTTTGATGCGCAGGCCACAAAGGCGCGAAGGGGGCGGGCGGGCCAGGGGGGGGGGCCCCGGGGGGGGGGAGGGGGGGCGAGGGGGGGGCGAGGGGGGGTGAGGGGGGGTGAGGGGTGGTGAGGGGTGGGGGGGTCAACTTGCCCAAAACCCTCAACCCTAAACCCTAAACTCAATAAGGTACCCCCTAAACCCTAAAATGTGGGTTGGGGGATTGCCAGCCACACTTGCCTTTACACCCCTTCGGTGCTTCAAGGTTCCGGATCTTCCGGGTAGGGTTGAGGGTTTGAGGTTGAGGGTTGAACTTAGGGTTCAGGGCTTCGGGTTTCGGGAACCCGAACCTATCCACCCTACACTCTCTCAAGGGTTCAGGGCGGGAGACAAGTGTTTAACTTCGGGGGCCTCGAGTCGCGAGTCTAGGCTTCACTTCGGGCGGCCGGTGTAGGGTCTACCATGTGGAGTTTAGAGTTGAGGGCTGAGAGCTTGGGGTTTAGGGCTTGGATTTTAGGGTATGGTTTAGGGTTTGGAGTTTCAGGTTTGGGGTAGGGTTTGGAGTTTGGAGTTTAGAGTTTAGGGCTCTCTTCACCTAGTTCCACAGACAGGTCGCAATAGTCCGCCCCTGTGCTCTGATCCTTCACCACGCAGTGTCGATGCGCAAAGGTGCCACGCTGGACATCCTGTCCTCAGTTTACAGAGAAGCTGGCCTTCCTCACTCATCTACGGGAAACCCTAAACCCTAAACCCTAAACCCTAAACCCTAAACCCTAAACCCTAAACCCTAAACCCTAAACCCTAAACCCTAAACCCTAAACCCTAAAGGGCCCCTGAGACGACCCTCAGGATTTAAAGACTGAAACCCGAAATCCCTAAACCTTACGGCAAGCCCCGACACTCTAAACTGAAACCGCAATGCCGAGCACGTCCGCTTGATACGGCAAACATCCTCCAAGCCCTACCCCCCCTACTCCCACACCCCAAAATATCTTAGGGAACCCTCAGCCCTGAGCCCTAAACCCTAAACCCTAAACCCTAAACCCTGAACCCTAAACCCTAAACCCTAAACCTTCGGCACCTGCAAGAATGGGGCAGGGGGTGGGTTCTAAGTTCTAAGATTGGCATTTGCTGCCAGGGAGCCGGTGATTCGCACATGGTTGCCTGAGCAAGTCCTACATCCCACACAAGACCCATGTTTTCGTGCTTATACGCTTTAGGGTTTAGGGTTTGGGGAATGAACGCTTTCCAGCACTCCAACTCATATGTGAATCAGGTCTAGCCAAAATGCTCTCCAGGAAAGGCGCATTTCTAAGACCAACGCACCGACGAGCAATCTTCAACCGCAAGCAAAAGCACAGGTTCTTCAGCAAAAGCCTGCCCCGGTTTTAGCCTGGAGCGGAATTTACTCTTGCACCTTCAGAAAAGTCTGAGACCCTGAACCCATCCCACTCCCCCGAACTGCACGAGAGCCTGGTGGGGTTTGGGAGATTATGGTTTGTGTGAGGGTCAACCCTAGAACCTCAACCCCAACCCTAACCCAAAACCCCAAAACCCAAACAAACAAACCCTACCCCCCCCCCCCCCCCCGCCCCCCAAAAGCCTAAACCCTCCCAAAGCCCGCCCAACCTAAACTCCCAAAAACCCCCAACACCCCCTAAACCCTAAACCCTAAACCCTAAACCCTAAACCCTAAACCCTAAACCCTAAACCCTAAACCCTAAACCCTAAACCCTAAACCCTAAACCCTAAACCCTAAACCCTATAAACCCTAAACCCTAACCCTAAACCCTGAACCCTATAAACCCTAAACCCTGCCAGCATGTGCGGCCCGCGACCCTCCAGCAGCAGCGATGCGAAGCCCAGGGCCTGGCAACTTGGGGTTCCTTGGGGGTTCAGGGTTTAGGGTTTAGGGTTTCGGGTTTGGGGTTTAGGGTTTGGGGTTTAGGGTTTGGGGTTTAGGGTTTGGGGTTTGGGGTTTCGGGTTCAGGGTTTAGGGTTTAGGGTTTGGGGTTTAGGGTTTGGGGTTTCGGGTTTAGGGTTTAGGGTTTGGGGTTTGGGGTTGGGGGTTTCGGGTTTAGGGTTTGGGGTTTAGGGTTTGGGGTTTGGGGTTTAGGGTTTGGGGTTTAGGGTTTTGGGTTTAGGGTTTTGGGTTTGGTGTTTCGCGGTTTGGGGTTTCGAGGTTAAAGGTCTTGGGTTTGCTGTTGGGGCTTGGGGCTTGGGGTTCAGGGCAGACTCAGGGTTTGGGGAATTAAGGTGGCAAAAGTGCTCACAAAGGCGTCAAAACAGCTCAAACCTGCCCGGCAAACCCTGGCCCTAAACCCTAAACCCTAAGCCCTAAGCCCTAAACCCTAAACCCTGAACCCTAAACCCTAAACCCTAAGCCCTAAGCCCTAAACCCGAAACCCCAAACCCTACCTCGGCTGTGGCCCAATCGATGGTCTCGCCACCCTCGAGATCCTCTGGGCAAGGATGTATAGGTTTTAACTGCAGGGTTTTTTGGGTTTAATTATCGGGTTTATAGGGTTTGAGTAAAAGTTCAATTATGTGTTTTCTTTTCTTCTTTTTTCGGGTTTGTGGGGTTTATAGGGTTTATGGGGTTCATGGAGGTTGGGTTGAGGGTTTGGAGTGTGGGAACCCTCATTTCTGACCCTTCTAGACCCTAAAACCCTGAAACCCTGAAACCCTGAACCTTAAACCCTAAACCCTAAACCCTAAACCCTAAACCTTAAACCCTAAACCCTAAACCCTAAACCCTAAACCCTAACCCTAAACCCTAAACCCTAAACCGTAAACCGTAAACCCTAAACCCTAAACCCTAAACCCTAAACCATGACCTGCACCACCGTGCGGGTGCCGTGCAGCACCCTAAGAGGACTTCCGCCTGTCGGAAGCTCTGCTAAATTAGGAGCCTACAGGAGATAAAAGGGATCAGCGCCCAAACCCTAAAAACCCAAAAACCCTAAAAACCCTAAAAACCCTAAAAACCCTAAAAACCCTAAAAACCCTAAGCCCCCTAAACCCCCTAAACCCCCTAAGCCGTAAACCCTAACCCTACACCCTAAACGCAAACCCCGAAAACCCTGAAGCTCTGAACTGGCTCGGCGGCGGTCCTCCATCTTCTTCTTCAGCTGGCGCTTCAGGCCGTTGTGCAGCTTGAAGCCTGTGTCTCACTGGGCTTTTGAGAACCGAGCTTCAGGGACTTAAGGAGGGATCCTTCCAAGCCCTAGCCCTAAACACTAAACCCTAAAACAGCAAAAACCATAAACCCGAAAACCCTAAACCCTGAACCCCGAAACTCTAAACAGTAAGCCTGGGACCCTAAAAGCCCTGAACCCTAAAACCCCTGAAGCCCTAGACCTTGACATCCCAAAACCAATTTTAAGGTGCGATGGGGCCCGTGCTGGGCCCGACAAACCCTACACCCTAAACCCTAAACCCCAAACGCTACAAGCCCTAAACCCTACAAGCCCTGTTAGCCGTATGGGTTTAGGGTTTAGGGTTTAGGGTTTAGGGTTTATTAGGCTTTCCGGGGGTTTAAAGTTCAGGGTTCCCCCCCCCCCCAGTGCACCGAAGCCTTTTTCAAAGAAAACCCACTCGCACACCCGAAATTCTAACCCCAAAACCCCAATCCGCAAATTCGCCCCCCACGACTTAGGGGCTGAATGCCCTAGCCCAAAAAAAGGGGGTTTAGGGTTTAGGGTTTAGGGTTTAGGGTTTAGGGTTTGGGGTTTGGGGTTTAAGGTTTAGGCCTTTTCTACCTAGTAGGATTCTGGAAGAACCAAGAAGGTTAACTTGTACACACAGTAGGATTCGAAAATACCAACAATGGTTAAACTAGGAGGGCCCTTACACCCTCTACAAAATGCTCTTAAATTTGATCCTCTTGAACCCAAATAAGGGGAAATATAAATACCCCAAGGGCCTGCCTAGTAAACCCTAAACCCTAAACCCTAAACCCTAAACCCTAAACCCTAAACCCTAAACCCTAAACCCTAAACCCTAAACCCTAAACCCTAAACCCTAAACCCAGTCCCTAAGACGCAGGCTGCATTGCGACGCCCAGCTGCCCTCGGGCACAGTGCACAGCTTGGCGCCGATCTTCCTGAGAAGCTCGAGGTCCACTCCTGGTGCTTAAAAAAAGGAAGGGTTTAGGGTTCTTTTTCTAAGGCCAGGGTTGTTAAGTGTATTGCTTGTGACAAATCTGTACAGGGGCCACTTGCCCATGTTCTCCTTTCTTGCGAAAGGTTTGCTGAGGCCCGTGGAGCTTTGGCATCATGCGAATGCCCTGCAGAAGGATCCGTTTCCGGGATCTTGTGCCTGCAGCCTGGACAGGAGGGGTTTGAGGAGCTTCTGGCTCTCGCACGTGAGGTTCAAGACTATGTGTTTGCATACTGGAGAGAAAGGTCTCGACCTCTCAGGATGCTGCTCCCATGACTGCCCCGGCCAAAAGCGTGTGCTGTTAAGCCGGACTGTTGAGACACGGGGCCTGCTTTTGCTCGCTTCCATCCAGCAGTTCGATAGGGGTATGTTTCTCCCACGGTGTGGGCCAGGGAAACCAGCGAAACCAGCGTTTAGGGTTTAGGGTTTAGGGTTTAGGGTTTAGGGTTTAGGGTTTAGGGTTTAGGGTTTAGGGTTTAGGGTTTAGGGTTTAGGGTTTAGGGTTTAGGGTTTAGGGTTTAGGGCTACGCCTGGTACCTTCTCGGACCCCTGCGCGGATCCACAAAGCAGATCCCCTCAAAGGGGTTCCTAAGAATGACCCACTCGTAGCATGGGGGTCCTATTTGGGGGCTTTACCCTAAACCCTAAACCCTGAACCCTAAACCCTAAACCCTAAACCCTAAACCCTAAACCTTGCTTTTTGGATCCTTTTGGGGGTCTGGGTTGGGGTTTGGGGTGTTGGTATTTGCGGTTTTGGGTTTTGGGGCTTTAGGGTTGTGGTTTGAGGTCTAGCGTTGTGGGGTTTCACAACTCTAGCCTGCCTGTCTTCGGCTTTCGGGTTTGGGGTGCTGGAGGTGTATAGGTGCTAAACCCTAAACCCTGAACCCTGAACCCTAAGGTGCCCTGACCCCCGCCCCCCCCCCCCCTCTCCAAATCAACTCCAACCCGGTCTCCTGTGGGATGCGATTGGGCCTTGTCGGTGGGGCGCACATAGCCCTCCCATTTGGTGGCCACCCAGTTCCCCATGTCCTGGCAGTTTAGGTTCAGGGATTAGCGGTTAGGGGGTTTCGGGCGTTGAGGGGCTTTAGGGGGTTTTGGGAGGTTTTGGGGCTTAAAAGGGTTCAGGGGCTGAGGTGGGTGTAGCCCTGAACTTCCTCGACCCCTAAGTACCCTCGCTACGGTCTTTGGGTGAAGGGCCAACCCCCCCCTCCCCCCCCCCCCCCACCAAAAAAAAAAAAAACATATTAATAATAAACGAAACTGTACATCCCGCCGAAACCCTAACCTAAACCCTGACCCTCCTCATCTGGCTTGAACTTGTCAGCCTCGCTGAAAGCCTGGCTGAGACTTCGACATTTGTGGGTTTGGCTACAGGGTTTTTAAGGGAGGGGGGGTTCAAGGGGGTAGGTAACCCAAGGTTCCCTAATACTCCCCAGTACTCCCTCAGGCCCAGGTCTTGTAGGCACCCTAGACCCTATATAAACCCTAAACTCTAAATCCTGAACCCTAAGCCTAAACCCTAAACCCTAAACCCTAAACCCTAAACCCTAAACCCTAAACCCTGAACCCTATAAGTTGGGCTTGAGGCCAGTCATTGGTTGCGGTGGTGTCTAGCTTGGTGCTAGAGTGAAACCGCCCTCAGGCACTTGCAGGCAGTGCGCCCTAAACCCTAACCCCTAAACCCTAAACCCTAAACCCTAAACCCTAAACCCTAGACCCTAGACCCTAGACCCTAGACCCTAGACCCTAGACCCTAAACCCTAACGAAGGTAGAAAGCAGCACTCAGCTTGGGCTGGACTTGCAGCGCTTTTGGTGGGCTAAAAGCAGCTTTGGGGTTTAGGGTTTAGGGTTTAGGGTTTAGGGTTCAGGGGTTTAGGCGTTTAGATTGGGATGCTCCCCCCTTATACGAGCAGTCCTTAATCGGGATTAATTATGGTACACCGTATTCTAATTCTTGTTAAGGCTGTTAAGGACTGTTGGTATAAGGGGAACATCCCAATGTTTAGTTGAGAACTTTATGTCCAGGGTTCTCTGCTAGGGTCCTTAAGGGAGGAGGATTCGTGGGAGGGAGCCTTAGGGAGCGCCAGGGAGTTTTGGGGAACCTTGGCTTACATACCCCCCCCCTTCCCCCCTGGAACCCCCCCGCCCCCCTAAGAACCCGATAAGTTTTGGGGGGGCGCCGAAGCCGAAAGGCAAAGGTTGGTCCCTCCTGCAGGCGCTGAGGAACCAAAAACACCAACAAAAAGGCCAACCCTACACCCTGCCCCCCCCCCCCCCCCCCCCCCCCCCCCAAAAACCTAAACCCTAAACCCAAAACCCAAAACCCTAAACCCTAAACCCTAAACCCTAAACCGCACCCCAGAAAAAATGGAAGCCCCTAAGACCTCCTCGTGCTGCTTCCAAAGGTTGCTCTTGATTGAGTCCAGCTCCGCCTGGCTTAAAGGCTTTTTAGGGTTTAGGGTTTAGGGTTTAGGGTTTAGGGTTTAGGGTTTAGGGTTTAGGGTTGAAAGTATATGCATATATATATATATACATAATAGTTTATTTGCTTATTTATCGTTTATTTTTCTAAGGGTTGTTTAAAGGCCTTTTTTGAGACGACTTTTTGAGCTGTTTTTCTTCTTTATAGAGTTGCGTTTGTTTGAAGGTTCTTTGTATTGAGAGGGTTTTTGAGGGTTTGAGGCTTTGGGGTCTAGGGTTTCGCGATGTGAAGGCTTGCGGTTTAGGGTTTAGGGTTTAGGGTTTAGGTTTTAGGGTTTAGGGTTTAGGGCTTAGGGCTAGGTTTTAGGCGTCAGGGTTTAGGGTTAGGGCTTCAATAATAAACCCTCAACCCTCAACCCTCAACCCTCAACCCCAACTTCCACCCAAAGAAGTCTGAAGCTTCTGTGTACCTGAAGAGTATAGGGTTTAGGGTTTAGGGTTAGGGTTTAGGGTTTAGGGTTTAGGGTTTGGGGTCAGAGCTTTAGGCGTTTAAGGGTTGCGGGCTTGTGCTTTATGGGCATTCAAGCGTTTCGGGCTTTTGCAGCTTGGATACCTCAATAGTATATACTCGTAAGAAGTTTTCACATTGAAGCCCAAGGCTGCCCTACTTATGCGTAGATTGCCTTAGCCCTACATGATAGGGTTCTTGAGGGAAGGGTTTCGAGGGGCTAGCTTCCCGAATACTCCCCACCACACCCTAAGGCTCACTGAGCTTCCCTAAGGTTCCTTAAGGTATCTACCTCCCATGAAACCCCCTCCCTTCAGAACCCTAAACCCTAAACCCTAACCCCGCCTAAACCCTAACCCCTAAACCCTAAACCCTAAACCCTAAACCCCCGCATGAAACCCCCTCCCTTAAGAACCCTGTAACCTGCAGGTTGCCAGGCCTTGCTCATTTCTCCGCTGGCGAGGAGCTTCCTCGGCGGTTCGCCCGCTGTTCTGTTGGGATGGGTGGGGGCAGAAGGACCGACACACCCCCCCATGCCGAAACCCCAAAACGCTCAAGCCTGAACCGTAACCGTAAAACCCGAAAAGCAAAATGCAAGATCCCAAAATAAAGGGAAGCCCCCAGCTCCCGAAACCTTAAAGCCCTTCGAAAACCCTGGGAACATCTTCCCTGCTCCAGGCCAAAGGACTCCTCGAAGACCACATGTGTCCTGGCGCGCGCGACGAAACCCACAAACCCAAAACTAAAAGCCAAAGAGCCTATCACTTGGGATGTTCCCCCCTATACTAACAGACAGTCCTTAGTAGGGGTGATAGTACCCCTAAACCCTAAACCCTAAACCCCAAAACCCCAAAACCCCAAACCCCTAAACCCTAAACCCTAAACCCTAAACCCTAAATAAAATTCCCTTTCGAGGATAAGGGGGCACATCCCGAGCCTATGACAATCCCTAAGCCGAGACGAACCCTAAACACAAAAACCCTACCTACAAGGGCCCCATGTACCTAGGGTTTAGGGTTTTTTTGGGTTTAGGGTTTAGGGTTTAGGGTTTAGGGTTTAGGGTTTAGGGTTTAGGGTTTAGGGTTTAGGGTAGACAAGGAAGCCAAGGACTTTAAAGCACTTCTAGTGACTTTGGGGCACAAGTGCCAGGATGGTGCTCAAAACTCTCCGAGAAACACTCCCAAACATGATTCCCTTAAGCCTACTGATAGCTGAGGGGAAACAGAAAGTTTCCCAAGGGCCTACCTAGAGTAAATGGGTATTCTCCAAAGGATTCCGGACTCCAATAGAGGGCCAGATTTTCGAGACACCCCGAAGGCGTTGTGGAAGTACATGGACCCTTCGGGGAAGCTTTAAGGTTTAGAGTTTGGCGTTTAGGGTTGGGGAAATTGGGAAGGTGTAGAGTTGGGTGGGGTGGGGTAAGTTAGGCAAGCTTTGGGGGCAACAAATGTAGCCCTAAACCCTACACTCAAAACTAGTTTGGGACCGCCTAAAGAGTGGCGGCGCAGTCTTGGAACGTTGTGAAGCAGCCACTACCCCAGCCCAAGGGAGATGCCCCTTCTAGATACAAATAGGGACTAGGCTTTAGGGTTTAGGGTGTAGGGGGCGGAAGAAGGACTATAGGTAGTCCTGCAGAGGGTGTGGAACCCACAAAATTCCATCCTTAAACCCTAAACCCTAAACCCTAAACCCTAAACCCTAAACCCTAATTAAACCCTAAACCCTAAACCCTAAACCCTAAACCCTGTCTTGAAGGGGACGGCTACGGCCACTGCGCGTCCTGGGATGCTTTGCGATGTGCTTGTAGAGCACGGGCTGGGTGTACTCCGGTGCATCCTGGCTCTGGCGGGTTTCATTGTTTCTGGACCACGCAGGAACCGAAGAATTTAGGGTTTAGGGTTTAGGGTTACATGGTCCCTTAATCTGGTCCCCCTAGCTTCACTAAAGAGTTCTGAAGTCTGGGCCTTGGGCCTTGGGTTTGACAGGGCATATTTTTGTGAGGGTTCCCCGGGACCATGCAACTACTCCGAAGGAGTCCACGTACCCCTAAACCCTAAACCCTAAACCCTAAACCCTAAACCCTAAACCCTAAACCCTAAACCCTAAACCCTAAACAGAGAATACTTGTGCCTTGAAGTACTTCCGATATGGGGACTTGGAGGCTCAAGTATATAAAGATCAGGTACAATTACATGGAGCCTTAGTGTAGATAAACTCCCGGGTCTGCTCTGTTTTCTTTGGGGCCAAAGACCTTACTGGCACTAGTTGAAGGCTTTTGGGGGGGCTATTTTGAGCCTAAGGGCCCAGTTAGGTCGTTCTAGCACACCTATCCGAACACCTTGAACTCAAACCCACCATGCTCCGAGTTTCCGTTTCGTTGTGCCCGAAGCGCCGGTAGCAAACTACGTCAACGATCACCTCAGCCGCAGGGCTTCGGGATTTTGGGTTGGGATGTTCCCCCTTATACTAGCGGTCCTTGATCGGGAATGTAGTAGAGGGTACTATCATCCCTGTTCAGGACTGTTAGTCTAAAGGGTGAACATCCCAAATGATAACGGAGGGCTTCAGGGGTTTAGGAGGCTTATTCTGAAGGGTGGGAGTCGAGTGTATGAACAGGTTTAGAGCTCAAGGTTTAGGCCCGAAACCCTAAACCCTGAGCCCTAAACTTTAAACCCTAAACCCTAATTGTAAACAGTCAGCTATGGCACTGAAGCATCGGCGCCCGCGGCAAGATGCACCCAGAGAGATGGGGATCCATGCGCGGGTAAACTTTGCCTAAACCCCCTGTAACCCGAAACCCGAAACCCCAAGCACTAAACCCTAAACCCTAAGCTGCCTTGAGACCCGAAACCCTAAATGAAGAGATGCAGCCCTGAGCTGAGATTCCTGCATCTTGTCCCCAGGTCTGACGCCATTCCGCTGCCAGCTGGAAGGCAGAGGTCACGGCCACCTGGATGTTGTCAAGCACTGTCTGCATATGGACATCTGGTCGCTTCTCTAAGATAGGCACCCTTTGGGGTACTGTTAAACGGAAAAAAGAGACCGTGTTCTCGAGGGATCAGCGTGTACTACTTGCACAAGGATCCCGCCCCCCCCCCCCCCCCCCCTCCCGGTCGAAAAAAAAAAACCTTCCTTATAAGGGCAATATAGGGATTCCTAGTGTTCTATTTTTCAAAAAAACCTTCCTTATAAGGGCAATATAGGGATTACTAGTGTTCTATTTTTTTGGGAGGGCTTAAGTAACAAAATATAGGGATGACTAGCTAGTGTTCTAATTTTTTTTGGGAGGGCGTAAGAACAAATCGCAGCCAGCTAGGCACATAGACCAACACCGTGGCAGAAGCTTCAGGTTGAACCTGTGTTGGGGAGCAGGGTTTAGGGTTTAGGGTTTAGGGTTTAGGGTTTAGGGTTTAGGGTCTTCCTGAACCCCTGTCCTCCCAAAAATGCCCTAAGAAAACCAAGCTTCCCTCACCTGCCCTAAGCCCTAAACCCTAAACGCCAATAACCCCCCCAGCCCCAGACCGAATCTGTAGATGATATGGGCATTCTGCGTTGAGTCTGAGATACAACCCTATATGAAGTAGGGTATATATTTCTTATACCCCCAAAAGGACACCAGGTATATACACTCACCAACATTAAAAAGGAACCTTATATACACTCACCAAGAACAGTAATATAAACCCTGCTTCATATAAATCCTAACTGGCTTTGGGCTTAGGCTTCGGGATCAAGGCCTGCCCAACCCCCAAAGTATGATTACAATGCTTATTTTGTTGTTGTCAATGGGTTTGCGGCTGTTTCTTACATACTTTGGGGTTCCAGGTAGGGTTTAGGGTTTAGGGTTTAGGGTTTAGGGTTTAGGGTTTAGGGTCTAGGGTTTAGGGTTTTGGGTTTGGGGCTAGGGTTTAAGGTTGAGCAGGCTTTGGTGACGTCTCCCAGGCGCCGGGTCATCGCCGTTGACGTGCAGCACTGGCAAGCCAAAGCCTGGTTGTGGGGGCTACGTGGGGGCGGTTCTCTAATTTCGGGCTTGGGTTTAAGGTTTAGGATTTAGGGTTTAGGGTTTGGGGCTTAGGGCTTATATATATATATATAGGGTTTAGGGTTTATAGCGTTTAGGGTTTAGAGGGTTTAGGGTTTGGGTGTTAGGGTTGAGGGTTTAGGGTTTAGGGCTTGGGGTAGCTCTCTAGACTGGGGTCCCTTGTTGGGTCCTCATGACAGAAGTGAATGAGAAACTGTGCGATTTGTAACCTGTGCAGTCTTCAATCTATGCGGCACCATGTCGAAACCAGTGACCAACCAGGTCATTGCAAGCGTTTTGAAAATCGGAATTTCTCTCCTGTCTGTCCCGGCTTGGGTAGCAGAAAAGTTGTATTCCATCACCAACACCCATGCTGTGTAGATCTCATGGACCGCATAGTATCTGTTAAAGGCCCAAGCTGCAGAAAGAATCGTAGCAGCCGCAAACAGCGGAATCAGATGACCACCGCTGCGCCATGTAGCCCAGATGGGCTGCGACAGCAAGTGGGGGCCGTTCTGACCACCAGTGTACGTACTTGCCATATCGATCGTAGTCACACGCAGAAGCAAAGGGCACAGAGTCCAGGTCATGCCTGAATTTGTTCACGAACCCTAAGGGTCCATGTACCTTATTATTATATACTTAGACCCAAAAGTCCTTATATAGGAAGTACTTTAAGGGCCAAGTATTCCATAATTAGGTACATGGACCCTTAGGGTAACCTTTGTTGATTCTCCTCGTGATACGACAGGCGTGACAGCTTGTCACAAGCCGACAGATCTAGGTCCAAAATAAAGCCACGGACATCCGGAAACAGATTGCTGAGCTCGTTCATTAAGAACCGGCAACCCTAAACCCTAAACCCTAAACGCTAAACCCTAAACCCTAAACCCTAAACCCTAAACCCTAAACCCTAAACCCTAAACCCTAAACCTAAACCCCAAACCCTAAGGCCTCCACCAAGAGGAATCTCCAATCCCGAAAGAAAGCCAAGCCGGAGAACCATCAGCGTAGTTCTCTCGATTAAGGCCCCTTGCTGGGTCCTTATAAGAAGGGTGCTGTACTAAAAACAGGATTTAGGGTTCAGGGTTTAGGGTTTAGGGTTTAGGGTTTAGGGTTTAGGGTTTAGGGTTTAGGGTTTACAGGGGACGAAAGAAGGGACCTTAATGTAGAGAATTAGCCACATACCAGGTAAGCCTGTTTCTTCTCGAAGAAAGATCGAAAACAAGAATACTCCAAGGGCCTAGGGTGTTCGTGTTCCGGGTATGCCAACACACACTTGTTGAGCCCAAATAAGGGAAATTGCCAAACATCTCCAACCTCGTAGTTCCTGCGAATCAAACTTCCTTCTGCTCAACTTCACCATCAAATTTGGATTACGTAGGTACTACCCCCCAAACAAGCAAAAGAATGAGGTGCTCACAGGGTTCGGGGTTTAGGGCTAGATCAGCCTTCGGGTTTTGCGTTTTGCGGGAGTTGGGGTTCGGGCTCCTTGCTTTTCCTCTACCCCTGTTGATACTAGGGTAACTTAGCTTAAGCAAGAATCCCTGTCGCCCGAATCCCTAAACTCCCTATAAACCCTGAACCCAAAACCCAAAAACTAATCCTTAGCCCGAAAATCCCCGTAAACCCTGAACCCAAAACCCAACACCCTAAGGGTCCTGGAACACACAAGCCCCAGGGTTAGGGCTTTTAGGATTTTGGGGGGGGAGGGAGAGGGAGGGAAAGATCGAGAGAGAGAGAGAGAGAGAGATAGAGAGATAGAGAGATGGAGAGATAGAGAGATAGAGAGATGTGTGTGTGTGTGGGTGTGTGCGTGAGTGCATGAGTGTGAGAGCAATAGAAAAAGAAAGAGAGAGAGAGAGAGGGAGACAGATACAAACAGAGAGGGATAGAGAGAGAGAGTGAGAGTGAGAGAGCAATAGAGAGAGAGAGAGAGAGAGAGAGAGCGAGAGAGTCAGAGCAATAGAGAGAGAGAGAGACACGGAGATGCCTTTGCCCAGGTCTGAGGAGTACATGGTGGAGCGGTCGTCGACAGGGTCCGTGGTAAAGCCAACCTCATGTTTTGTGTGGTGCGTTTCGGTTCACAAGGACAAGGTTCAGAAACCCTAAACCCTAAACCCTAAACCCTACACCCTAAACCCTACACCTAAAGAGGGTGCAATTTGGGGTTGCAGCCCGAGCCTAGCCTGAACTCAAGCAACAACAGATCTTGCGTGATTTCCAAAGGTGGCATTTATAAGGGCGCCAGGACGCTTTTCAGGGACCAGAACAGAAGGGACTAAAGGAGGGACCCTTATAACGGCCCTTAGGGGTTATTCGGGATTATTGGGGGTTGTTTAGGGGCTTCGCTTAGGTATATAGGGACTGTACAGGGGAATAAGATTAAGGGTCCCTTCTGGGGGTCCCTCCTTATACCCCTTAAGAAACTCAACTCGCCCGCAAGCAATGCCTCCATCCTGTCTGCTGTCCTGCTTTCGATCCCTTGAAAGCTTCGTTCGGGCGCAGGGGAAGATAGATGACTGTGGCAAGCGACCACTGGATGAGATTTAGGGTTTTAGGGTTTAGGTGGCTTAGGGGAGGGAGGGTGGGGGGGGGGGGGTGGCGGTCGGGGGGTGGGGCTCGGGGGGGGTGGGGTCGGGGGCGGGTGTGGCTAGGGGGGGTGGGGCTGGGTCGGGAGGGGGGGGGGCATGGGGGGGGGGGGGTGGGTGGGGGGGGGGGGGGGTTGGGGGGTGTGGGGAGGGGGGGGTGGGGAGGGGAGTTAGGGGTGGGCGGCAAAACAAGTGACTCAAATCTCCTCGATTTGGGAGAAATCCGCAAAGTGCAATAGGATCCGAAAATAGCTCTTATCTAAGACATATTTCGTTAAACATAAGGGATACCCCTGAAGGGGTCCGACTATGCTTTGAGGAACCTATTCCGATATTGGAGTCTCTGGGATCAAGGCTGCTGGAAAACCCCTTAAAGCCCTGAACCCTACGCTCCTAAACCCCAAAACCCTAAACCCCTAAACCCTAAAGCCCTGAACCCAAAGACCCTATAACCCTAACACCCTAACCAAACAGCATCCCTCCCAATGTACACCGAAAGCAGAACCTTCGACCTACGAACTTGAAGATCCCAAAACCCTAAACCCTAAGCCCTAAAGGCCAAACCCTAAACCCTAAACCCTAAACCCTAAACCCTAAACCCTAAACCCTAAGCCCTGAGCCCTAAGCCCTAAGCCCTAAGCCCTAAGCCCTAAGCCCTAAGCCCTAAGCCCTAAGCCCTGGCCCTAGGCCCTAAGCCCGAAACGCCAAACCCTAAACCCTAAGCCTTAAGCCCTATGAACCTTAACTTAAGCCGACCAGGAACTTGGCTTCGCCAAACCTAGGGTTTAGGGTTTAGGGTTTAGGGTTTAGGGTTTAGGGTTTAGGGTTTAGGGTTTAGGGTTTAGGGTTTAGGGTTTAGGGTTTAGGGTTCAGGGTTTGGGGTTTAGGGTCTAGGGTTTAGGGTCCCTAACCCCCTCAACCGACCTGATTGTTGATGATGACGTGGATGGTGCCGCCGACCTTCAGTCAGTCGCGAGCTGGGATGGGCGTGACATTTGTTGCAGGGGTGTGCGGTGGTTTAGGGTTTAGGGTGTAGGGTTTAGGGTTTAGGGTTTAGGGTTTAGGGTTTAGGGTTTAGGGTTCAGGGTTTAGGGTTTGGGGAGGGGGGTTGAATAGGTCCCCTTTTCGGGGTCTGGGGGTTAACTGCTATAGGGTTTAGGAATCCTTCGAGAGAAGAGCCGACATGAGGGAGGGAGGACCGACATCAAACACAGAAGCGGGCGTAAAGTGCGGAGGGTGTTGCTTAAGTATTGTCAAAACCCCAAACCCTAAACCCTAAACCCTAAACCCTAAACCCTAAACCCTAAACCCTAAACTTTCCTAAGCCCTAAACTCAGTGCTAAGGAGATTGGGAAGGAGGTTGCC